GAGTCCCTGGGGCAAAGGCCGTCTCTGTCTTTGTATTTGGTGCTGTGACTAGCATGCAGTTGGATGCTTAACAATGCCTAATTATAATAACATGGATTATGGTACGAGGCCATCTGTAAACCTCGGTAAGTTTAGGACAGATTCATAATATTTTAAAAACCTGTACAAAATAGATGGATAACATTTAAGGGAACATACAACTTGTGCATCCATGATACAATATAGGATTAGCTCAACATCCTCATTTATCTTTTAGAAACCATGTCTCACAGAATATCAGCCTGTATATATATATATACATATATGTATATATACACACACACACAAAAAATATTTACAGAATATATATATTCAAGAATTATGTATAATATACATGCAAGAATTATATATATTCAAGACTTATTTGAAGTTGTCAAGGCTGGTCACTAGACCCACTGTTCTTTAAAACTCTTTATTCAAAATAGTAGCCTGATATTCAAGATTGGCTTTTGTATGCTACCTGGAACCCTCGTGGAAAGATTTGGTTTGGATAGTGATGTTTTCTAGTTGGTTGAGGATTTCCTACTTGAAGTACTGATTTTTTTTTTTCTTTAACCATTGTGGAGAGATATCTTTCTGAAATGTGCTATACACTTAACTGCCTTCTTAAACAGATTATCTGGAAATAGCCCTCCTATGAGAATTGATTATTATGTTGTGTGATCGTCTTCAATAAACTTTAGGCCTAGGTAATCTTATTGCCAGTTGAAATACAGTTTCCCTCGGATTGGTTCCGGGATCCCCCCATGGGATACCAAAATCCGAGGGTGCTCAAGTCTCTTGTATAAAATGGCATTGTATTTGCGCATAAGCTATGCATATCTTCCTGTATGCTTTAAATCATCTCTAGATTACTTATAATACCTAATACAATGTAAATACTATGTGAATAGTTGTTATAGTGTATTGTGTAGGGAACAATGGCATGAAAAAAGTCTGTACACGTTCAGTACAGATGCAACCATTGCTGGCCTTTCCATTTGAGGTTGGTTGAATCTGCGAATGTGGAGCGTGCAGGTACAGAGGGCTGACTGTATATGCAGAATTTTTTGCCCCCGGACTATAGATTTTCAGTTTTATTAAAGTTATACAAGCACATAGTTCAAAAACACAAGTTCTTCAAGGTTTGTTAAGAAAAACGGTGGTCCCCTGTCCACCTTGCTCCCATTTCCCCTTCCCCACAGGGAACCACTTGTAGATTTTTTTAGCTGACTTGAAAATATCTCCTTCCGTATCTAAAACTGACATGGCTGTGTGGCTACTTGTTTATTTTTCTCTTTTCGACTTTATCTATTGACTTCCCACTATGGAAGATGAGGATTAACTCCCGCCTTATCCCATCCTGGCCACACATGCTCAATTCCCATCCTCTCAGGATAATTTGTCATAATTTCAGTTAAATCAATATTCAGTGTTTACATTATTATGACTCTATATGCTATTCAGAGCTCAGCCATGTAGAAAGCAATAATTACTTTTCCTTTCTTGCACAATTTTTTTCTCTCAAGTTAATAATTGTCTTTTTTTAACATTTTGCTTCAGTTTTCTGTGTATTTATTCCTGATTCAACCCATTGTCTAAATTAGTTTCTAAATAGTTTCTCAAACTATCTGTGATAAAGGACCAATCTTTCTTTAAATTTCTAATCTGTTTGAGGTAGATACTTTTGTGTGTGTGTGTGAGGAAGATTGGCCCTAAGCTAACATTTGTTGCCAATCTCCCTCTTTTTGCTTAAGGAATATTGTTGCTGAGCTAACATCTGTGCCAATCCTTCTCTATTTTGTATGTGGGATGCTGCCACAGCATGGCTTGATGAGCGGTGCATAGGTCTGCGCCTGGGATCAGAACCCAAGAACCTCCAGGCCACCAAAGCAGAGTGCACAAACTTAAGCCTATGCCACCAGACTGGCCCTACAGACACTTTTATAAAATACAGTAAAAACACATTTCTTTTCTTTTTTTTTTTTTTTTGAGGAAGATTAGCCCTGAGCTAACATCTGGGGCCAATTCTCCCCTTTTTTGCTGAGGCAGACTGGCCCTGAGCTAACATCCATGCCCATCTTCCTCTACTTTATATGTGGGATGCTTACCACAGCACGGCTTGACAAGCTGTGTGCAGGTCTGCACCTGGGATCTGAACTGGCAAACCTGGGGCTGCCAAAGCTGACCATGCAAACTTAACCACTGAGCCACCGGGCCAGCCCCAAAACACATTTCTAGAGCTGTTCACGGATAGCACCAGATCATCCTTTGTGTAACACTGTCAGATCTCCTGTTAATACATCTAAACATATCAAGTATTCTGTCAGTTTTGTCTTCTTGAAGAAGCATCTTCGGAGCCTTCTGACATGCCACTGTGGATTGCTTGCCTTCTGTATACATGCATACAGGTGTTTCATGGGTCTGGATTCTCTTCTTTCAGCCTCAGGTTTCTCTTTTCCTCCCTCTTATTCTGGTTCCCATGCCTTCCTCATTCTTGATTTACTCCCTTGTTTTTATGGAGCATATCCTCCAACAGCTTCCTGGAAAAGGGTGTATGAAAAATAAATTTTTTGAGGCCCTGCATGTCAAAAAATGAAAATGTTTTCCTTTTACTCTCTTGACTGCTTATTTGGCTGAGTATAGAATTCTTGGTTGGAACTTATTTTTCTTCAGAAAGCTTTCTTGTCTTCCAGCTTCTAGTGTTGCTGTTGGGAAATCTAAGACCATTCTGGTTTCAGAACTTTTAACATGATTTGTTTTTATTTCCAGACTCTTATAAGCTTTTCTCTTTGACCCCAATATTCTAATATTTCACATGACGTGGATTTATTCTCACCTATTATGCTGGGCACTTGGTGAGCCCTTTTAGTTCTGGGAAATGTTCTTGGATGGTTTCTTTCATTCCTCCTCCTTCATTTTCTCTTCCTGTAGTAATAAATACTAGTATTTGGATGTTGGACCGGCTGGACAGGTCTCTCATATGAAGATTCTGCATATAAACTGACCTGGTTCTCTGCTTTCCCCTCTGCTGACTAAGGAGTCAGCATTCTCCAGGTTACTCAATTATCTGCCCTTCTTGCTTCCAAAATTATGTGTTATTGTCTCCTCCCCTGTTCTCCAAATCCCAGTAGGTTTATGCCTTTTCATAGTGGGGTCTCAGAAGGGAGCAAAATTGAATAGGTGTATCCAGTCTGCCATTTTTGCCAAGTACCTGATGTCTGCTTTCTAAATACCTGTGTCTGCCTACCATCATGCTCTAGTGGCCAGCTGTCCCTTCCCTCCAGCCGAGTAACCTATCAGTTGAGGATGTAGCTGTTGTCTTCCATAGGCTTTGGTGCCAGCCCTGTTGACATCATTTGCCAGCTGTGTGGTCTTGGACAAATCACTTCACCTCTTAAAAATTCAGTTTCTTCATCTGCCTGATGGGGAGAATAAAAATACCTACTCCGTGGGATTGTAGTGAGAACTGAAAGAGGTAACATAGCACCCAGTACTAGGTTGCCATTCCATCAGTGGCAGCTGGTATTGCTACTACTGCTGAGGCTGGACCCTTCCCTCCCCTCCTCTCTATCACAAATAGTCTGGGGACTAGAAAATTGAATTGCCATGCATGCGAGACTGAAGTAGGACTCCCAGGGGAGCTCTCCTAAGGTGTAAGGGAAAACATTATTTCATGGATTTGGGAGCATCTGGTTTGGCTGCCCATAGACTCAGATACTGGTTTTAACTATTCTTCCCTGACCAGCCAGGGCCCTCTCTCCAGATGCAGATCTTATCACTGAATCTCCTGAGCCTTCATGATGCAGGTCAGGTCTCTGCAAGATGTCCAGGTGTCTTCCTACGTCTCCAGCCACGTGCTCCCCATCACTTGTGGCTCACAGGCCCCAAGCTCTTGCTTATATCTTTCTCCCTCGAGTTCTGCTCTCCAGCCCTGCAGAGCCCAGAGCCAATCCTGCTCTCCTGCAGGGCTCAGTTCAGCCATCACCCTGTTCTGGAAATTTTTCTGGCCCTCCCCCTCCCCAATCCCTGTCTCTCAGACCCCACTCTGGGTTAGGTTGTCTTATGTGCCTCCTCACATCCTTTAGGGGCATGCCTCTGTTACAGCACTTGTGACTGCACAGCAGCTGGTACCCATGTTTCTCTCCATAAGATTGTTAGCGTTCTGTGGCTAGAGGACGTGACCTCCTTATTATCTTGATCTTAGCACCCAATATGGTGCCTGGTACATCCCGTGTGTACAATTTTTGAGGTAGAATAATATTTTTGAGTGCATGAATGAATGAAAAGATCTCAAATAATAGTTTGGTTTGTGCCTACTTGAAGAATGAAATCCTTGAATCCAGCATCTTAAAAATGTAATTCTCTTTGCAAATCTTCAGAGTTCATAACCTCTCCCAAATAACAGTATTTACTTGGCATTGCCCTTAAAAGCCTGTTGGGGGAGGGGAATTATGACTGAGATATTCTAAATGCTCTGATCCTCCTCTTCGTGCTTGCCAGCCGACCAACGCATCCAGCACCAGAGCAATCACCGTACCACAATTGTCCAAGGTAGACACAGGCAGCTTTGTAACTTCTCTAATCAGCCCAGCAATAATATTTCAGTCACATTCCTGGGTGCTCATTGCCCTTTCTAAAATACAAACTATCTGCATGCTGTTTCCAGCCAAATGAAGACAGGACAAGCTTTACATGTCTAATGAAGGAACAGCTCAAAAGATTAGGAACAAAGTATTTCGGTTACACCAACATGCACGGCAGACATGTGAGGGCAGGGACTCCTGTTCATCCAATAGGTTCTGTCAGCCCCGGCTTTTATCCTGGTCACTCCTGAAGGAATCTGGATTAACATAATGAGGGTGCTCATCAGCAGCTCATTATCATTTTAGAAAACTTCAGGGCCGAATCAAACACCAGACTTTATGTTCAAGCTGTACTACCGACAGACATTTATTTAATGAACTGTTTTCTGCTTACAGATGGAGGTTGAAGTTGTATTCACATGCTCTAAATGTCAGCCTGCATCTTTAGACTTAGAGGAAGGAAGAAAAGACAAAACATGACGTGCTGAATCTTGCTGTTATAACAAACGTGAGCATCCAGCTTCTGGTAGCATACCTTCATCCTGCTCTTGGCCTCACTGATGGAGGAGCAGCCAAGATAGGGACTCTGCATAGAGAGGAAGTTACTGAAGCAATTCACCAATCAGAGCGTCTGATTAGTGCTATAATTTCAAATGTAAACAATAACAAACAGCTCTCTAGATTTCAGATGAGAACTGGACTCTTCAAAGACGGCTTCTATCTGTGGCTATAATAAGTGAATCGGACACTCTTGGATTGCAGTCAATTTTATATCCTAAGTATATTTTTCATCTCTCAGTGTGCATTCATGTTTTACCAAAAGAAAGTGAAGATCTACCCATAGCAGTCTTTTAGGAAGGTCAGAGGAAACTGACAAAGCAAGAGCAAAATTGCAAAATTGACATTGAGGAACAAGTGATGGTGTTAAGCAGCCTTATCATTATTAAATGAAATAAAAAGTCATTAAATGCATATGAACCCAAAGCAAAATTGATCAGAAGAGTTAATCACCCTCATCAACTCACATTTGTGGAGGTGCCTCTGGGTGCAAGTTATCACCGCTCTTGAACACTGGCTGTTCATCTCTTCAAGGGCAGGAGGCTCAGAGCTGGGAGCAGCCTAGTCCTTGTTGGAGGCCGAGGAGGAGGAGAGAGAAGAGGGTCCTTGGCCACATGGATTCCCTTTATGTTGCTCAAGGTATCAGTGGTTCCACTGACTCCAACCAATTTGGACCAACAGATATATTTAAAAATGATCTCTGCGTTTAAAGGGCTTTCCTTCTCATCTGGGGAGATGTAACATGTCTTTGTATTCCAGGTAAACTGGATTTAGTTGTTTAGTGCTTTGAGCACGTGCAGTGAGGCTGCTTTATTGAATAACTGTGTTGATTGATTCACAATCCCTCGGCTGTAGGAAAGGCACAAGGGAGAACTAATGATGGCCAGCCAAGTGTGTCCATCCCACTCATTGCCGCCCCGGGCAGGAACCAGTAGACTGGGGATCTCACTCTCCAAAGTCCCCAGACTTGTCCTGATGTGGCTTTGCTTTTGCTCATCACCTGTAAACTGCACCTAAAGAGGCATTATGTTTTACACATCAAAAACCCAGGCTTCTTCTGTTTCATAAAACCAAGGAAAATAGTTACTGTTTATCCACTGCGCACTCTGCTCAGGCACACGCTAGCCATTTTGCCCATTTGAGATCAAATCTTCACATCCTTAAGATAGATCGTATTATTCCCATTTTATGCATGAGGAAACTGAAACCCAGACACATGAAGTGACTTGCCCAAGATGTAGAAGTGTTGCACCCAGGGCTTCAACCCAGGTCTGTCTGATTTAAAGGACATTCTCTTTCCACTCTGAACCCAACAAAAGATTGTGTGTGTGTGTGTATGTCTATATTTGTATCTATATCAATATAAAATTGAGATCATATTTTATATATGAGGAAAAAAAATGCTAAACATAGAATTACCATTTGACCTAGCAATTCCACTCCTAGGTGTATGCTCAAAAGAATTGAACATAGTAACTCAGATACTTGTATACCAACGTTCATCACCAGATTATTCACAGTGGCCAAAAGGTGGAAATGACCTAAATGTCCATCAATGGGTGAATGGATAGACAAAAGGTGGTATACACGTGCAATGGAATATCATTCCGCCACAAAAAGGAGTGAAATTCTGACACATGCTACCAGAGGGATGAACCTTGAAGACGTTATGCTAAGTCAAAGAAGCCAGACTCTAAAGGACAGATATTGTATGATTCTACTTATATGAGGTGCCCAGAATATGTAAATTCATAGAGACAGAAAGTAGATTAGAGGTTACCGGGGCTGCAGGAAGGAGGAATAGGGAGTTAGAGGGTTACAGAGTTTCTGTTTTAAGTAATGAAAAAGTTTCAGAAATAGATAGTGGTGATGGTCGTACGCTGCGAATATATTTGATGACACCGAATGGTACACTTGAAAATGGTTAAAATGGTAAACTCCATGTTATGTATGTTTTACCACAATTAAAAGAAAAAAGTCTAGAATGATGAAAATAGGCAAGCAGATGTAGGTGTGAGTCCAGATGTACCTCCTTCCTGTATGAACTGTGCGAGTGACAACATCTCTGAATCTCTATTTCCTCGTTTTAAAGCTGTTGATGATAATGCCTAACTCACTAGGCAGGTAGGATGTGAATGATCGAGCCAGTACTGAGCACCCAGCGTAAGCACTCCATACACGTGGAGGAGGCAGCAGCGGTGGTGAGGTCTTATTATGGTTGGTTCTGAAGTTCTATAGCAGAAACTGAAACACATGGATCCCGAGTGTTCCTCGCCACACGCGCTGATGAACGGTTAAGTGATAACTGAGATTTCGTTCTTGTTTTGGAAGAAGGATTTTTCGACAGAATGCCAAGGAAGAACCAGGTGTTTGAAAAATGTGGCTGCGTTAAGTTAAATGAGCCTTTTTCGGATGCCAGATGGGAACATAAAGCTGTTTGAAACCCCAACGGTCTTTTCTTGTTGATTTTCACATGACTGAAAAATGATTTGACCGCAGCACGGAGGAGCTGCTGAAGTGTTCTTGCAGCCAGCTCCGTCGCTGCTATTTAGGAAAAGAAGAGATGTGAGAGCAGAAACTCATAACCCTTGAAAACAGGAGGCTTGCCGTGGCAGCCTCGGAGGAGGCCTCTGATTATGGCGTTGCTGAGGGACATGTTAATTACCGGGCGCTCGGACACGTCCCTTCAGCCGAGTCCAGTCGGTCCGTTGCCTCGTGTACGAGGAAATGGAGTTCCGTGGCGAGAGAAGCAGAAGCTACCTACCAGGTTGGAAAAGACCCACAGAAAACATGGAAACACATCGACGAAAACTGTTTGCTTTCTGTGTTCCAAAAAGTGGATGATCAATGCCTGCTCCCCAGATACCGTTACATCCGCCTCCAGGGCACGTTAACGTTTTCTCAAATGAGTTTACGCCAAATTCTTATGGATATTGACTGTGGCTCCCTAGTAAAGCACAGCTGCAGACCTGGAAACTCGTCCTCTGAACATTTGGAAGCAACTGTGCCGGCTCCTTCCTTTGCTGCAGACACATATGGCCGCTGAAAAATACTGCGCCTTTATATTTAACCCTTCGGGCCCTGAAAGGAGCTGTTTTGTGGAGCTGAGCTGGAATTTATTTGGTGCACAGTGAATGCACCTCCTAAAAGTCACCCTTAGCTCCCGCCGTGTCCCCGTGTGCCGTGTGGCGGCACTACCTTGAATAGTGGCTTACTATTCCTTTTTCCTCTCTTTTCAACTGGAAATAAATAGATTTTCAGATGGTACTTAGTGTCTCAGGTGAGAGGCATAATACCTGTTCCTTATTTGAAATTAATTAGATAATTTGTATAGAAATGCAGACTAATCACCATAGTCCAACTACTCAGAGAGAACGCTTGTTACATTTTGGCATACAACTCTCCAGACTTTTTTCAATACACGAATACCAATTTTCACCTTTTACAAAAATAAGATTATACTATACATACTGTTTTTAAAGCTGCCTTTATCGAATACCAATATACTGTGAACATCTATCCATATGGTATCATTTTAAATGGCTGCTTAGATTTTCTCATGTGGATTCCACATATTTTATTTAACTAGCTTTCTACTATTGGACTTTTAGGTTGCTAATCTCATATATTAGCTAGAATTACATTCAGCTTTACTTACAGGAAACTCGAAAGAATAATTGCTTAAATAAGATTGACGTTTATTTCTCCTTAATGTAAGGTAGTCCAGAGGTGGGCAGCCCAGGGCTGATAGGGTAGTCATCAGGGACTCAGGCTTCTTCTACTTTTTGGCTCCATCATTTTTCTGGATATCCCCCAACCTTAGGGTCATTTCTTGGCCCAAAATGGCTGCAGGAGCTCTGGACATCACATCAAAGTTCTAGGTAGTGCAGAGGAGAAAGGAAGGAAGAGTTCAAAGGGCTCCTCCCCAACCAAGCCAGCTGCCTTAAAATAGCCTCCGTGGGAATCCCTTACAACACTCCCACTTTCCTGTAGTTGGCCATACTCAGCTGCCAGGGAGGCTGTGAAGGGGAATCAAAAGTGTTCTACTGCTAAGGGAATAGGGGAAGAATGGCTACTGTGTAGCAACTAGTGGTTTCTACCTCACCAATTTTTGCCCTTATAATCAATGCTGTCATGTATCTCTTCCAGTTAAATATTTTTACACAGCCATGAAAATTTCCTTAAGAATTTTGCTGAGGAAATAATGGTGCCAGAGTCAAGGGTGAGCACATTGAAAAATATTATCTATTTTTTTTCGTTATTGGAAAAGCAATGTATGCTTATCAGAAAAAATCCAAACATAGTAGAAATATAAACTGTTTTAATACATATTGCCACTCTGAAATGTTGTGCCATCCACATCAATTAGCAGTGTGCAGAGGGGTCAATTTCCCTGTATTCTTCCCAGTTCCCTCTTGCCCTGATATCTTATCAACCAATCTGATAGGAAAAGAAACGTTAATTTGTACTTTGATTACTCGCCAATTGCATGTTAAAATCCTTTGCCCGTTTTTCTCTTTCGGTACTCATTAAAAACATAACTTAGAAGACCTCTTTACATATTTAATAGTCACTTGATTATCATATGTTCTATTATGTTTTCAAGTTGTCACTTTGCTTTAACTTTATTGCAGAGTGTTTTTGTCATGTAAAACTTTTAAACTTTATACACTCAGATCTACGTATTTATCTTTTCCTTTAGGCTTCCCCTTTGGTGTAAGTGCCAACACTGAAAGGAAAGGGGTTTTTTCTCCCCAAGAAAATGAAAAAGTTCTGTGTTGGATTTGAAACTGAAGTCTCAGTGCTGGGAGCCAGCCCTGGGCAAACAGGCGGCTGGAGAGTAAGTCACCTCCCTCCTCTTCTCCTCACAGAGCTGTATGCCCATTACCTGAGGGGACGGAATCCAAGCATGGGTCAACAATAAGGCAACAGGTGAGCTTCGTCTTCGTCAACGATTAGGTTTCTGAGGACTGATATGTAAATGAAGTATTTGTTTTACTAGAATCCAACTTTTCCTTTAACTTACATTATGCCTAATTTCAGGGAAATTTTTTTTTTTTTTTTGGTGAGGAAAACTGGCCCTGAGCTAACATCTGTTGTCAATCTTCCTCTTTTTGCTTGAGGAAGACAGTCCCTGAACTAACATCGGTGCTAATCTTCCTCTGTTTTGTACATGGGACGCCACCACAGCATGGCTGGATGAGCAGTGTGTAGGTCCATGCCCAGGATCCGAACTTGCTAACCCCTGGGCTGCACAAGGGGAGTGGGCAAACTTAACCAGTACGTCACCAAGCCGGCCCCAAGGGAAATGTTTTGCTAACTAGACACCTAAATATTTACTAATTCAGCATGAGCCTCGTTGTGCCTGAGAAGCAGTATGAGACTGTGGGAAGAACACAAGCCTGGAAGTCAAACACCCCAGGTGAAATCCTCCCACCGTTGATCACTTACGGAGCTTCAGGCAGGTGATGTGACCCGAGCGGGCCTCGGCGTCAGGGGCGGTTCAAAGGATTGGAGGAGCTCGTGGATGTGAAAGCACCTGGCACCATAATTAGCTCATCGCGATGGAGACCATCACAGATGTTTCCCCAATCTGCCCAGAAAGGACAGAGTTTGTGTGGTATTGGTGCTGGACACTTATTTGGAACTAAGAATTCCTTCACGATGCAAAGAATCACCTCCTACTTTTTCTCTCTGGGGTTCACATTTCCAGATACCAGGGCAGCCAAAATGTAACAGGCCGTCCAGGCCATCCCTACACCCACCCTTCCGCCTTGAGGTCAGTCTTATATGTCCTGGAACACCCTCTCTCCAGCCCCCTAATCAACTCCAAAACCATTGATAGATAGATAGATAGATTAACTGGAACGTTTCAGTTAATGGAGGGGGATTGGTTAATAAGTGTTACCTATGGCCACACAGCTAGCGAGTCACTGACCCCGGAATCGGCCGCTCATCTGATTTTCTTCTCTTGCCTTTGAAGAATTCAAACTTTGTTCAGATCTCTTCGACCCAATAGCATCTTAATATCCTCGGGGAGGGGAGGGCCAGGAGTGTTTGTTTATGCTCTGGCGGGACCTGGAGAAACTGAGCCCCTGAGACAGGAAGGACTTGTGTAAAATGCGCAGCTAGCAGCGGAGCTGAGACCTCGGCCCGCAGCTCCTGGCTCCCGCGCCAGCCCTCCAGGTCCTGCTGTGCCCATGACCCCCGCACGCGAGTCCCTCACAGCCTGAGCGTCGGAGGTCAAGACGTCCATTAGCTACAGCCTTGAGGAGAGCCGTTTCGCTTCCGAGGGGGATAATATGCCAGATGAAGAGGAACATCAGCGCTCGGCATTTGCTAGGCGCTAATTTCTCCTGAGAAAGGTGAGCGGACTTTTTTAAGCCGCAAGCTGGCAGATTTCATTCTGTGCTATTTCTGAGGTCTTGGCAGCACAGCCAACTCTCCAGCCTAGATCCCTGAGAACTCCAAAGAATCTGGTGCAGGGTGTTCCTGTGAATGAAGATTTTGACAAGCGCCGACAGAATCTGGGTGATATGGAGTGGAACGGGAACAGCATGGTGAGCCACTCAGGCCCCAAAGTCCACATGGGCTTCCGGCAAATGGGCTGCTCAAAGCCAAAGGCCTCGGGAAAACCATTCACGGGGCTCTCACTGCCCAGATGGGCGTGGAGGGAGTGTGGGAATGAGGTCTGCTGGGAGCGGGTGAGTCACCATGTGCCAGCCAGGTTCCCCCAGCTGTGGAGAGTATTGTTCATAAATATCAATTACCAATTATCCATCTGAGTCTGGCAGGTTCCATGAGTTTACAAGCAAAATAGCTTTAATAATTTCATCTCTGGAATTCACTGATCTGGAGCTTTTGTTTACTCTTCAGGAAGTTCATATAATGCACATTTGAGTGATAAGTCTGTGGGTTGTGGTGCGTGCTGGGAAAAGGGTTTGACCCAAAAAATTATGCGTGAATTTAGAATTGAAAAAAAATTACTCTGGCGCTAGCAAACTTTGCTCTGGCTCTTTCATCCTTTTGGAATGCCCAAGCGGTTTAGTTGGTTCAATTCGTCCTGACTCTAAGCCCCCATCCCTAGCCCTGTTGCTTTAGGACATAGAGGCTAAAAAGCTCTTGGAAAGAGTCTAGAGTTCCTGTTTGCTCTCTGTGTTTCAGAGAGGGGTCTACTGAGCCACACTCCCCTTGTCCCCCTGTCCCCGTATCTTATCAAAGTGCCTGGCCTCCCAGTGACGGTGGTTAAGGAGGAGCAGGGGTCCCAGGCCGGCCCGTGGTTGGAATTCTCACAGTTCCGCGTGTGTTGATGAGCTAGTGGGGCAGGTGGCCGGCCCGTGTCTCTCTGCAGGAGTTGATTTACACGGACAGGAGAGACCCGCTCAGAGAGGAAGAAGTGTCCTCAGAAAGACGTGGGGACAGGGGAGAAGAAGAGAATAGTGTGTGGTCTGTAGCAAGCACGCGTCCTCCCACTAGGCCCCCGACCTCGTCTGAGCCCTTTGGAGACGGCTGCAGGCGCGAGCCACCCAGCAGTTCTCTCTGGGGCAGCGGCTTGTGGCAGCACAAGCAGGGCGGAGCCAGGGCCTGGGAGACTCGGGACAGCACAGAGCGAGACTGCAGAGTGCCACAGAGAGCTGCTTCGACGGAGAGAAAACTCCAGGAACCTGGCTCTGCCTTGGCATCCAGAGGGGTGTCACTCTGGGACTGTCCAGCCAGCACCTGGGGCATGGACATCGGTGCTGCCCTGGAGGGTGGCCAGCAGCAATGATAGGGGCGAGTCCAGCCCTCAGTGGGCTTTGGAGAGTTGACATTGACGAGGGGCTCAAGTAGAACAGCAAAGGGCTGTTTGTGGCTCAGGCAAGACACCTCAGGATTTCTCAGAAATCACTAGGCAGGACTTTGTGGAGAACACAGGTCAGTGAATTTGGGGACCTCTTAATAAGACTTTCGCAGTGCCTGGGGAAGCTCAGGCTATTTTGAATTCTCTTTCTTCCTCGAGAAGAGGAGCAACCAAGGAGGGCGGAGCATAGTGGCAATGGTAACAGTCTCTGGCTTTGAGGCCCCATCCGCTGTCCTCTTTGGAAGCCAGTGCCCTCAAGCCCTGTCCTTCCCTTCCTTTCCCTTCCCAGGACTCTGGAATTCTCTTCAAGTCATCGTTAAAGTTTGCCATCTGCCCCTCAGGGCTGCTCCCTGTTTCTCACTGCTCCTTCCTCCTCCTTCCACACTGTCGTGTTGCTGCGGAGAGCTCACCTGCCTGCTCTTCCCATTGCACTGACTCGTTTCTCACATCCGTGTTGGTGCTTTTTCTACCGTTGTAGACCTTGGTGCCAAACCCAACCCCGCCAAGGTAGAGAGCCCTCTCTCCATCAGAAGTAAACTTTCATTTGGCACCTCAAAATAGTATCTTTTGCTCCCTCATCTTCTTATAGCCTCCCCATTCAATGAACTTGAGAACAAGTTACTGCCAAGCATGGATGCAGGACACGTGAACAGTTTTGCAAAGTGTCTGTGGAAGAGTTCTCTGCTCACTCATGGTCAAAGAGGGTCATCTCAAATTCCTTCTGCTATAGGAGAAATGGACTTGTTGCCCATTTCTCGCACACACTCATTTTAACATTTCACATTCCTAACTCTTTAGCATTTCTTCTTCACAACTGGAATTCCATGAAGCCATCTAATACTCTTTCTCAGAAGATTTTCCTTATGAAATATCTGGCAGTTGCTTCTGTTTGTTTAAATAGAAAAATCAATGATTTAAAATTGCAAATTCAGTTAAAATTTACTTTGCGATAATGTTGTAGGATAACATCGCCAGGGTTTGGAAGCAGAAAGCAGATGAAGCAGGAAAACAAAGATAATCGAGAGGATGCTAGAAGGGGACCTCTGATTAGTGAAGCACAATTATGTGGAATAAATACAATATCGATTTTTGTGTAAAAATCACCCACAGAAGGGGAGAAAGAGGAGAGTGCTTTGTCATCTTTCCTTTTTTATTTCTGGTTTTCAAGATATACTTTCAAGTTCTCTGAGCTATATTAGTTTTTTTTTTTTTAAATATGATTCTGATTTAGATGATTGCTATTGCTTTAAATGCCTCTGGTATTCTCAGATGAAATATGTTTCCTCTGAACCCCTGTCGCTCTGACCATTCCTCACTTTGTACATGGTGTTACATGTATTTGTGTCCATGTCTTCCCTCCCTTGCTAGGTTGTGAATTTATTGAGAGTAGAGACATACTTGTATAGCTTTATCAACAGTCAATTCTCTGGTGGCATGAGTAGGCAGACTTCTTATTTTAAGAATTTGATTTTAAAAACTGCTATAAAATAATTTTATAATGAAAATTTTTCACCTGGGATGCATGTTTTGGTGACTCGGAGATGGAGAATATGTACTCCATTTATATCTGTACTAATTTGTAGGAGGAAAAGATGGATATTTCAGCGATAAACTTTTTTTTTCCCAGTTACTTTTATTTGTTTATGGTTCCCAGGGCACATGCAAAATTTAAACACACACACGCAGAGCTTTGAAAGGAGTAGGGATCCCACTGTGCCCTTGTGGGAGGGGAACAGATGTGTTCCCAATTCCAGCACTAAGCAGAAGGTGTGCTGTCCCCAGAGGGCTGGGGATCACGGCTCTCGAGGGATGAGTGTGGGGATCGGGGCCTGCTGGTGCTTAGAGGTGGGAACCGCCTGGGGGAAGGAGGGCTGGCTGTGGCCCTGGTTGACCAGCAAGCCCTCCCACCCGCCCTTCTCCAAATAAGAGCACAAGGGAATGCAGACATGGTTCCTATTTCCCTTCTGTGTTTATTTTTTGGTGTTTGATGAATTTGAGTTTATCTGAGGACTCTTCACCTGGCTTTTAGCTTAGCCTTTTTGAACTCAAGGATTCTCCGGAAATTTTGGTGTATAGGTGACCTTACAGGAAG